TTCAATTTTGACTGCTAAATGTTGTTTTTAACATTTCATGAATAAATGAGACCTTTCCAAATGTGGCTTGTGATTAAGTTTGGACCCAAAAGATCTTCTCTTACCCATTTCTTCCTAGCATGTTGCAATGGCAGCATAATTACTTTTGTTGCACGCAAAATTTACGAGGAAGAAATGACGATCTCAATGTCATCTGAAGACTAGGGCAGCTTCAAGAATTTGCTGAAAATCCAGCAAAATCTCCTCCAAAGATATACTTGTTTCTCCTTGCAATCAAAGAACAAAAGAAAAAAAAAGAAGAAAAGACAGAGAAGGTTCAGTCCTTTAGGACCTCATCAACTCAACAGTATCAATAATCTTAAGATTGTTGGCCTCGCAGCCTCCAAATTCAATTCTTCTAACATAAAACATAGTTGAGATTGAACTACCGATACAATTTAGCATCGTGTTCCATTTATTTTAATAATTATAGTAGAAAATAGCATTTTATCTTGGTAGTAATTCTTACCCTGTAAATATAAACAACTCACTAAATGTATATTTATCTTTATTTTACGAGTAATAGTCATCAGAGTTCCACTATTTGTATTTCACACATCTGCATATTATGTGTCAATATCTCACTCAAAAATCACATAATAGGTTAATTTTGAACTAATAAAATTACCCTAGGTTTTATTCCTCAATGCATAATGATGGAATGAACAAGGCTGAAGTACAATTTAATACCATCTATGGTTGAACTCTTTCTTTTACATATAAATATTATACTCACATGTGTATCTATGCATACTAGAATGATGCACATTCAACTATTAAAAATATTCACCCTTTGTTTGCACGCTGTTATTTTGTAGTTAATTAATGCATTGTATGGTGTTGGAATGGCAAAATTATGTTTATTTCTTAATTGTATGGTTATTTTAGTTTGTTTCATGGCATCCAAAATGTAAATTTTGAACAAATTTTTAAAACCACTTATTCAATGATTTTTGACAAGCTCATATTTTGTTCCGCTTATACCTTCATTAAATTTTATTAATTCTTATTTTACCCTTGAAATAACTCTCGTTGCAGACTCCATTTTCCTTCACCAACTTGACCTGCTTCTTTTCTTCTCGATCAGCTTCTCTTTTTCTCAATATTTTTCCTTCATCACGCGATCTACTACTCTTCTTCTTGTCTCCATCTGAAATCATCTTCCCTTCTCTTCTTCAAAGCATTTTCTCCATCCGAACTCATCTAAAAGCATCATCTTCCCTTCGCGATTTGTTGTATGCTTTCTTCATTTTGTCCTCAATTGTCTTACCCTTTATGCTATAATGTCCAAACTAATGTTGTCATCGGCATTCGAAATTGTTCCCCACTATTACCCTCTTTTTAGATTGTGCTATTTTGTGGTTAATTAATGTAGGGTACGGTGTTGAGATGACAAAATTTTATTTGTTTCTTGATAGTATGATTATTTTAGGGTGTTTAATGGTATGCAAAAAACAAAATTTAGACGAATTTTTAAAACCTTCAATCCTATGGTTTTTAACAAGCTCATATGGCTATATTATCATTAAATTTTATTAATTTCTATTTTACCCTTAGAAATAACACTCACATATATATATATAATATATATATATATATATAGTTTCAGTTTTGTTGCTTGTGGCTGTCATTGCTTTTGCCCTTGCTGTTGCTGTTGCTACTAAACAGAGGAGGATCATTGTGTGTTTTCTTTCTTTTCTTCTATATCTCAATTTCTTTTTGTTTTGCTTGAGTAGAATATATTATTTACTAATCTTGGTAAGAGTTACTCTTTTCTTAATAATTCTTTTTTTTTTCTTTTCATATTCATATTTTGGCTTCTTCGAGGTTAGTTCCCTTCTTGGTTATCGTTGTTTTATGAATTTAATCAGAAAAACAATTATCAGAACTGAAAATTTTTTTGGTACAGTAAGTTGGTGACTGATTTTATTTTATGTTAGTAGCTTTAGATTTGATTTGCACATTTTACACTAAATTTTTAACAGGTTAGCGGTGCCTAATTATATTGTTCTTCATGAGTTATGAGACTCTCAATTATGTTAGTTTTTTTTTTTTTTTTGTTTTTCCAATTCATATCTCTATGTATTGAATATTCTGAATATTTTTAAGTCGTAAGATCTGGTTCTGGTATTCCTCTTTGAGCTTCTCCTCAATAATTGAGTTGTTAGAGTATTTGTCATTATTTTAAAAAAAAATCTGATATATTTAATATGTTGTGAGATCTTTCAGAATTAAAAAATTAATTAATTTCTAAATAAAAATAATAGTAAACTAATAAGTTTATAACTATATAAATAAAACAAATGAGAAATTTCAGTTCGTGATAAACTTTTATGTGATTAAATTAAATATCATAATATCTTATTCTTGTTTGCTTTCTTCATTTGTCCTCGATTATCTTATCTTTTATGCTATAATGTCCAAACTAATGTTGTTACAGTAAATTGACTGTTTTTAGTTTATGTTAGTAACTTTATATTTGATTTGTCTGTTTTACACCGAACTATTAACAGGTTAACGATGCCTAATTCTGTGATTCTTCGTGAATTATGAGACTCCCGATTATGTTACTTTTTTTTTTTTTTTCTAATTCATGTCCCTGTATATTAAGTTGTCGAAATATTTTTAAATCTTGAGATTTGGTTCTAATATTCTCCTTTGAATTTCTCCTCAATATTAGAGTCTTTATCATTGCTTTAAAAAAAAAAAAAAAAAAAAAGAAACCAATATACATTAAATTAGAGAGGAAAACGAGAGAAAATTTGAAAAGACAATAACTCAACTCTATAAGCACTAACAGCAGTTCATATTTGTATGGATTGCTCGATTAGAAACTACACTAGGTCAAAAAAATCAATTAATTTAGTAACAATGAAGGCACAGAACCACAGAAACATCTTTATGTTAGGCTCCAAATGACTAGTCATTGATCCTAATTTATCATGAGGATGGGCACTGAGTTTTGGAAAGCGATTCTCTAGGCTCTAAATCTTGCCAAATGAACTGTAACTTGTAATTTGCCTCCAGCTTTTTAGACTCCTGAAATTTATTCACTTTAGACAATACAGCAACTCGTTAATAACCCGAAAATAATTATAACATTGTTTATAATAGTAACAAGATTTATCTAGCCACCTCATGAGAAATTCAAAGCAAGTGCAAAATCATTTTTTTCTTTTATTTTTTTTTTTAACGATACAAACATTAGCAACAAGATCCAAATAAATGCCCAAATTCAAGATGAGTGCATAGTCAATTTTTTTCCTTTGTTTCCTTAACAATGCTAACATTGAAACAAGATTCAAAGTACTATCAAACCAACTAGTAAGTAACCGAATCATCTCAAATTATTCCCGAATCCCAACTCATAATGGGAAAAAGATGATTTAGGGTCAAATTATACTCATAAATACAAGGGTATATGCCTACTAGCTCTTTTGGATAATCACTATCCGCCTGTCAAGAAAAAAAAAAATACAAGAGACAATTGTTTCAAATATAACTCTCGTGATCCTTGAATAAATTCATTTAACTTTTACAATTTCGTCACAATTTGTGTTGCCTATATCAACTTACAGCCTAATTACATTTCAAATAATACATTCGCAACCATGATCCATGTTTCCTAAGTTAACTCTACGTGGATAATTGCTTGAAAAGTATGACTAAGGTAGAACTATCTAGTTATATATAATATGTAAGTTGCATGCACAAAATTACAATATGCACAATCTAAACATTTAATAGGGAAAAACGAACCTTACTCATGCATTAATTGGTCTCACAGGCATTAGGAACAGCTTTGGGATGTTGAGGCGGAGCTGCTGCCTACAAGACTGCCAGAGTCACTGCCAAGTCACCAGAGTAACCAGCAACTACCTCGTTGCCAGTCACAAAAACAAGCCAACAAGCTGGGACCCGATAAAGCTCACTGCGCCAGTTCTACACAATCGACCGTGCGCCCAAGCAACCAATCATTAGCAGGGACTGAACTTCCAAAAATTACAGCTCCTCCTTGCCTCTCGCCAAACACTAGCAATCCACAGGCTGTTGCTGGTCAAGATCAATTTTTGGGCAATTCGGATTTGTTTTCTGGTGGTAGCTCATTGCTTGGTGGCTGATATCATGCTGTGGTGCTCCAACCATCCTTTCCCTCTCTTCTTATTATTGTTTTTTGGAGATTCTCATCGTTGGAGATGAGTTGAGGTGAACAGGGAGTTGGAGGTGATTTCAGGCGGACAGAGAGTTCTTGAGTATGAAGACACCAACCAGCGATGGAGAATAGATTCCAGTCTCCTTGCCAGAAAGAGTCCCCTTTTCTCGCTTCTCTTTCTCTCTCTTCTTTCACCTTCTCTTCCTTTCACTTGAAATCTTCTTTTTTCTACTCAAGTGTCCCCTTTTTTCCTTCAAGACTATACATATACTCTACAGTATCTATATATATTTTTAAATTCTGCAATGTACGATATATTACAACTTTGCTATTATTATTCATAGTTCCAAGTAAGACGGTAACCCTCAACATTTCAAAAGAACACAAGAATAAAAAATGCCCAAAACCAGATTAGGCGACATAATTACGCTGCAAAAGTAGTAAACATAATTCTAATATATAAGTAAACCAACTTCACCAAATATGCTTAGGGAGAAAATTCAAAATCGCACCATTTCAAAGACGGTAAGTATTGTATGGGAGTTATCTGGTCCTTTAGGGGCACTGTCAAGACTATTAAATTTGACAGGCAAGAATCCAAATTAAATATCAGGAAGGGAAATGCATTACTAATGCCATATCCTATGCGAAGTCTTGACTCTAAGGCCAGGGTATTAGATCACATATTTTCCTCCTAGAGATCATCAAAGTCATTGACATGGACCTGAGGTAACAAGTGGAGAAGTTAAAACTAAACCTTCTGCAAAAGATATTCAAATCTCATACAACTGCTTCTCAAAGCTCAATCAGGCTATACCCTGGACTCTTTGTCAAACCTATGTCTTTTGCAATACCTCTTATCCTAGCTACTTCATCCCACTTTCCACCTTCTGCATATAAATTTGATATTGAACCATAAACACTTGAATTCTCAGGTTCTATCTCCAGAAGGCGCCTTCCTATGATGTCCCCCAACTTCGTATTTCTGTACATTCTACAAGCAGCAAGCAAAGCACCTAATGCGGAAGCACTTTGTCCTGATGGTAGACATTTAACTAACTGATATGCTTCTTCAAGCCGTCCAGCTCGGCTTAATAAATCTACCATACAACCATAATGCTCTTCTGATGGGATTATAGAATTGTCTTCTAACATGGACCTAAAAACTTGCAGACCCTCTTCTATGAATCCTGAATGACTGCACGCAGTAAGTATTGATGTAAAGGTCTTCTCATCCGGTTGAATTTCTTCTTTTCTCATGCACTCAAATAACTTGATGGCATCAAGACATTTACCATGCATACCAAATGCAGCTATCATCGCATTCCAAGATGTTAGATGCCGCTTCTTCATGCTCTCAAACATGTTTCTGGCCATTCCTAATTCTCCGGATCTGGAATAGGTGGTTATCAGAGAATTAATCACATGTATTTCTTGCTCCATCTTAACTCGATATAAGTGACAATGTACTTCCTTTACTAGATGAAGACATCCTAGCTGTGAGACTGCCTGAAGCAAACTTATCAGAGCAACGGAATCATATTCTAGTTTTTCCCTTTTCATATTTTGGAAAAGGGCTATTGCTTCATCTGCATGGCCATGAGAAATGCAACCCATCATCATTGAAGTCCATGACACCAAATCCCTATATCTTATCATGTTGAAGACTTTCCTTGCATAGTCTATATGACCACAGTTCGCGTACATATTTAAGATTTTGTTGAAAATTTCAATACTTGTATGACACCCATGTCTTAATACATATCCGTGGATGCATCTACCCTGTTTTATCTGTTTTACATCAGATAATGCATTAAGTGCACACAATATGGAACTTTGGTTGGGTCTAACACTTGCTCCAACCATTTCAATGAAAATCTCTAGGGCTTCTAAAGCACATTCATTTTGGAGATAACCTGTCATCATCACATTGTATGAAATCACATCCTTTGTCCCTATTCTCTCAAACATTTTCCTTGCATGCACTAATTTGTTGCATTGAGAATACATATCAACCAAAGCAGAGGTAGCTACTAGATCAAGTTGGACTTTACTTCGAACAATGTAGCCATGTATACTCTTTCCTAGACGCAGATATTTCAAATCAGCAAAACAGAAGATCACATTGGCTAAGCTAATTAAGTCAGGCACTACTTTTTCTTGGATCATGAGAATAAAAAGGTGCAGGGCATCTAATGGTTGTTTGGTCTGAAGGCGACTGGCAATCATAGCATTCCAGCTACCAATAGTTCTCACATTCAGTTTTCTGAATAAACAATCAGCTATTTGTGTAGCCTTGCATTTAATATACATGTCCAATAGACTTGTTTCAAATATTTCATCTGAGCAACCAATTCTTCTCCTTATTGCAAAGCCATGAACAGTACGACCTTCTATCAATATTTGTAATTGGGCCGCCACCTGAAGCAAGCTCACTAGTGTAACCCGATTAGGGTCTATCTGATTCTTCAGCATTTCACGAACAACCCCAAAAGCATCATAAGCACGGTAATCGCCAACTAGTGAATACCCAGTAACCAATGACGTATACACAACAACATCCTTTTCTGTTATTTCATCGAAAATCTTATATGCATCCTCGATATCTCCGTACTTGGAGTACAAACAGATAAGCGAAGAACCAACGAATTTGTTCATGCTTAACCCAAACTTGAAAGCATCTACATGAACTCCTCTACCAAACTCTAAAGTACCCAATTTAATACAACTCTTTAAGTTGATAGTAATTGTTGCACCATCTAAACCAATCTTTCTTTGCCTCAAATTAGAATAAAACCTAAGAATTTCAGTATGGTGACCAATCTTAAAATATTTGACAAGTAATGAATTCCAAAGAATGATGTTAGCATTGTGAATCCCATCAACACCAATCTTGATTCTGCTAAAAACTCAAATTTTGCGTAGAGCTAGAAGCCTGAGCCCACCAGAATGTCGCCGCTGAAGCCATGTGTAAAATGCGAGCATGAAGTTTTCTC